CGAGAACACAGGAAGCGTGCTTATTATGCTGCCAATGTCGGTAAGAATACCCTTGCACAAACCAGAACATCCAGAGTGTTCGTTCATACAAACTGTGTTAACTGGCCTTCGGAAACAAACTACAAAATATCTAAATACCTTTCGGACGATGATAGAATATATTTTCTCTCTTTTAAACAAGTCTATTTTTGCGCAGAACACAGCACCGAGTCCTTGTCTTATTTACAAATAATAGTAGAGAAGAAGACACTATTGGCAGATTGTGTACAGCCATAAAAATATGAATGTACTGATGCAAATTGCTCATTCTCCCAAGACCTAGATCCGGCCTCGAGCCCCGCTTACTAAGGTAGTGTCTTATAGACGCCCATTCATCGCAACAGTCCACTGACCGGATTGGACAGGGGCTGTGACCTGGGAGGGGGACTAGGGAGTGAAGTCGACAACTCAGCAAATTTTCTTCTTTATAAGGATTAAGACGCGCCTGAAGCTATCACCATGCGCTAAAGCCCGTGGCTTGGAAGGTTGCCAACTAACGGGATAACACGGACCACGCAGTCAGTGTGGTTTCGCGTGGAGTGGCCGACTGAGGGAGTCATGGTCCAGTGACTCCTTCTTACTGTGACACTCCCACTTCGCGAAATCCCAGCCAGGTGTGGCGGCGCACTTTAGGGCGGCTCCGGCCACGCCAGCCACCTGCGCCCTCACCCATCTCTGGTCTTCTTGACTTCGTCTTGACACCGGACACAGATGGGGGAGGGAAGAACACTGCGGCAGATGCAGCGCAAGTCAACTATCACTGTAGCCTAATTCACACGATAGTCATCGTCCCTGCGTCATCTTGCTTTAGGGCACATAATAGACCTCGTCGAAACCGTTGGTCGAACTCCCCCTGTCATGTATCACTTCCCGGCTAATAAGGACAGTGCTTGTAGTGCTGAAAACGCCGACAAGAAAACCCCTGGACTAACCGGAACAGATCCATCAGGGCATCCAGGGTGTTTGGACCCTTTGCACTGGACATGGTGCCTTCTCCACGGGCTGCCTTGATACTAGGGTTTCCGGGGTGAATAGACACCACCAGGACAATGCCGATGAGCACAGCAAGTAGAGTTGTTGTAAAGTAGTAGAGCAAAGCATAGGTTCCGATCTTTCCACAGGATTTAATGTCCAGGTTTGCAAGGCCTAGTAACGAAATAGTGTCATAAGTATTTCATGCATAGGGTGAAAAAATCATTAAGGGTGATTTTAAATTTTCCCGCAAACGGAGGCGTAAAACTGCGGGAAGTTATTCTTCCAAGTTTTTAAAAGATTCACAAACTGCTCGGCGAAGTTATCGGTATTTGTATTAATTTATAAGACTACTACGTAAAAGAAATTTGAGTGGGAGTTGTTGCAAACCTAAACACGTTAACCCTCAAAGAACATACGATCTCTGAGCGTATAGTTGGAAGACCTGGAAGAGAAAAATCTCACTTGCAAGTGAACAGGTCCTAAGGCAGCACTTCATAGAAAATACTACTTTTCGAGTTTGATGCATGCAGCATAAAGAAATGAATTAAACCAAAGTTACCTGAAATGAGGCTTGAAGTGATCAGAGGAATGATGAGTAATTTGAGCATGTTCATTAGCAGTTCTCCGGGAAAAGCGACCAAATTCACCGTTCTTGGGCTGATGTCAGGGTGAGCAGTCTTGATTATGAAACCCAGCGCAAGACCCAGGACAACAGAACTGATGGTCATGACGAGTTGAATATTCTCAGATTTTCGGAACCAAGCCGTACACTAGGGATGGAAATTCAAAAGGAATTAAAAGAGAAATGTTAAAAACAACGCTGAGGAGGGAGTTGTGCGGGGCGTTTTTATGGAAAGAAAATAGGCCTTTTAGCCCTGACAACACCCGGACGCATGTTATTTTACTCCGTGGAGTGAAAACATTATGCTTCCAACACATCGACCAAGCCCCCTTATTGCTCTTTCATCCTTAACCAAGCTTGCCTCCTCTTCTTCCACCTCCTCAGGGATGATGAACGCGATATGATATCTGGAGCCCGAATATTTGCGCATAGTAACCAAGCTTCTCTATCCAAGCTTTTCTATCCAAGTTTTTATGTCCCTACTCCGTCAACCACCAATACCAACCGACCAAATTTAAAGATTCGCATTAAAGGCAAGAGATTAGCGCCGACAAGCAAATTAGTTTCGTTCATCCCATGTAAATCTGTCCGCATATAATGACCACCCCAACTGTTAACAAATACAGCTTGGCTACGGCTGCCATTTATTTTACGGCTTGAATAGCTTAGTAAAAGTATATATTAAATAATTATTTGCTTGAACCACCCTGCAGTAAACACACAGTCAATTGTGAACTAACCGTCCGATTCAAGTAAGTGACGAAGTTGTAGGATAATCTAGGTAGCATAAGAGTAAGATGAAAAATGAAAATAAATCATGGCAAAATTGACATTCATAGCTGTGACCTCTGTATTCCTGAAATTTTGACTGTAAGCGAGGTGGTCATTTGAGTGTAGACAAAAGGAACCTGCATCTTTTGAGATAAAACGCATGCGTTGTTTCCGTTTGTTTCAATTTTTTTTGTCTCTTTAAGCTTATAGGAGCATACATAGGTGTAACAGTAAATTTCCAGCCACTGATAACAGTCAAGCTTAAATGTGACCTTGCAACTAAAACTTAAAGTTGAACGGTATAGTTACTTCCTTAATTTAACTGACTTCTCCCTTCATAGATTGAACGTCACCGACTACGCTAGGCCATTTTTGTTTTACTTGAAAGAAAAATCCTAGGTCCCTCTCCGAGGATTGCATAGGCTTGAAACCTCTTTTCGCATCCTACAAGTCAGTAAGGACCGATGAATTTGGACTACTTAATTGATGGATTTGGATTTGATTGGATATACCGTTACTTTTAGGCTAATCACCATTAATGGACACAGGTCGAAGTTCTAAATTAGGTTGTCAAACCTACAATTTGTACATATCAACCTGTTAAAAAAGAAGCAACTTTTATTGCGTAAATATCCGAAACTGCTACACTGGTTGATTGTCAGACGAATAAGAAATGTAAACCAAGAAACTGTGGCCCAAAAAGGGTTCGGTGATGGCCTAGAGCTTTTGCCATGAGGAGTTTCAAAAACTTTGGACTTTGCACTAGCTTGATCCCCTGCACGCAGTCGACCTTACACAAACAAGGTCACTGCAAGTGAGTATTAATTAGGTCAGGACTATTTTGCAACCGCTTTAATTGCTTTGAACTCCAACCTCCGTTCTGTTTTATTACGGTGCAGTATCCGCCTAAATAGCATGCACAGCTGACCCGACTGCCTAACCAAACCGGCAAATGAAAGTTAGTACTCGTTGAGTAACGTTCACGGATCGCTAATGGAAGTCATTCGTCCGGCGCTGCTTTGCGAAAGATATGGCACGATAGAATGCGGATTCTAGGACGATCCTCATTCGGGTCATCCTCTTTATATAACGATCAAGGAAAAACAACTGTTCATGCAATTGCACTTCCTTGCATTCCTTTTGGCAGTCTGTGTAAACCCTTAATTTAAGGAATATCTGCAAAAGGCAAGTTCTGATAACAGAGGCGCAATAAGTGGTTTCGTAGAAAAAGAAGTCGAATTTATAAAGCCTTGCAAAATAAAGGGAAAAATCCCTTTTCAAAGTAGTCATTCCTTTACTCTGGTAATTAGGTCAGGTGACCAAAAAGCTGCCTTTTTATGTGCGTCTACGCTAGCGAGAAGCCGACAACTCACTATTATACTTCTGTGGTATAACTTAATGAGCGTACCTATGTGGCAGTTTATTTCAGTGAAGTGACTACCAGATATTTCTACTTTGAGTTTTGAAGCCTAGGAAAATAGTCAACGGCAAAAGGGATCGTGCGTGTCTACTATTGAACCTGCATGCGAACTGACCAAAATAAAGCATATGCAAAGAGTCCACAACCGGGAAACTTTTCCAAAAAATAGTGATTTCTATTTAACTGCTTTTTTACTGTCTTTGTAGAGTTATAATCAGCGATTCTTCAATAGGAAAAATGATAATTCTTACAGTCAAAGTCCTTACAGAAAATATTAAATACACACACCAGGCACCAGAACTTAACTACTATTATCGGTCAAAGGAACAGGGCAAGTAGAACGTTCAAGGTTTTCTTATCAGAAAAGTACTTTGGAAGAGTACTGCAGAAGAGACGGGGATTTGTTTTTAATCCAGAACTTGTATAACCCTAAGCAATAACAAGTCTGAAGGGTACTTATAATAACTGTCCCATCGTAAAAGACTCGCCGTTTTGAGCCTGCGAAACGTCACACTGAAATATTTTGAAAAGTAGTTAGCAAAAAGGAATTAGCCATTTCTGAACGATGAAATGTTTCGCAAGGTCAAAATCTCAAAACAACAGGTTGCTAATGCCAACATAAATGCGCGTTCTTGAGACACCAACCTATGTAGATGTTTCAGCAAGCCGAATTTTGAACAAGGTAAGAGACCTCAGATGTCTCACAAAACTTGAAACCAAGGAGTTATTCCAAGTAGTTCACATGAGATCTCCCTACTTGAAGACACGCAAATATAAGGGGTTCATGTTTACGTATGACCTTCCTTTTTTAAAGATAAAATTAACACTTAAGATCAAAACGGGTGCAAAAAAA